GCCGGTTTTGTTCGACAGCTTCATTAATGACCTGGCTGAGGGGATGGATTGCACCCTCAGCAAGTTTACAGATGACATTAAGCTAGAGGGAGAGGTAGATCTGCTAGAGGGCAGGGATAGGTTCCTAGACAAGTTGGAGGATTGGGCCAAAAGAAATCTGATGAGGTTCAACAAGGCTAAGTGCAGAGTCCTTCACTTGGGACGGAAGAATCCCAAGCATTGTTACAGGCTGGGGACCGACCGGCTAAGCAGCAGTTTGGCAGAAAAGGCCCTGGGGATTACAGTGGATGAAAAGCTGGATATGAGTCAACAGTGGGCCCTTGTAGCTAAGAAAGCTAACAGCATATTGGGCTGCATGAGTAGGAGCATTGCCAGCAGACTGAGGGAAGTGTTTTTCCCCTCTATTCAGCACTGGTGAGGCCACGTCTGGAATACTGCATCTAGTTTTGCCCCCACTACAAAAAGGATGTGGAGGCACTGGAGAGAGTCCAGCGGAGGGCAACAAAATGATTCGGGAGCTGGAGCACATATGACTTATGAGGAGAGGCTGAGGGGTTTGGGTTTATCCAGTCTGCAGAAGAGCAGAGTGAGGGGGGGATTTGATGGCAGCCTTCAAATACATGAAGCGAGGTTCCAAAGAGGACGGAGAGAGGCTGTTCTCAGTGGTGACATGGCAGAACAAGGAGCAATGGGCTCAAGTTGCAGTGGGGGAGGTCTAGGTTGGATATTAGGAAAAACTATTTCTCTGGGAGGTTGGTGAAGCGCTGGGATGGATTCCCTAGGGAGGGGGTGGAATCTCCATCTCTAGAGGCTTTTTTAAGGCCCAGCTTGGCAAAGTCCTGGCTGGGAGAATTTAGTTGGGGTTGGTCTTGCTTGGAGCAGTGGGTGGGATTAGATATTTTCTGGCTTTTGTGGATGGCATTCTTAGGCACTTCTCCCTCCCCATGCATTGCATGGGAAGCCACAGGCAGGGGGGGAATCTCCAGCACAGCTGTTGAGGGGCTAGTCTGTGGCCAGCCCTACACCCACCCAAGGACCTGTCCCCTTTCCCTGCTGGAGCCCCCCTCCTGCCCCAGAGCACAGGGAGGGCAGCATGTGGCTGTTCCAGCTCTGGAGTGGGCAGGCAGGTGGTGTGGGGTCCCTTGATCCCTGAATGCAGGGTGGGTGGGTGACATGCAGCCCCTCTCAGGCACAGGACATGAACAGCTGATTTGCATGTTCCAGCTCTGGGAGGGAGCGGAGCAGGATCAGAGAGTGAATCAGCGGATTCGCGGTGCTTTGAAAGTGCTGGGGGTGGGGCGGCAGGTTGCCCACCTCGGTCCAGATTGTACCTTGAGAAATGTCCCAGTGGGGAAAAAGTTTCTGCCATTATCGAATTTCACCTGTAGATGTTCTTTCAAGGCTGGTTTCTACTCTTAGGGTGCATTTATACAGCACCCTTACCTTGAAATAAGTGACGCAATTTGTGCTACACCACTTGTGTAGCTTATTTTGAGGTAATTTCAAAGTAGCTTATTTAAAAATTAAATTTAGAAATAAACAGCTATTCCGAAACTTCTCTTACTCCTAGAATGAGGTTTATAGGGAAGTTGGAATAGAGAGCCCGAAATAATGGGCTTGCCATGAAGACGCGGGATAGCTTTTTTGGTGTACTCTGGTATCCGAAATAGTATTGCAGTGTAGATGTACCCTTAGTGATTCTGGTACTAATCCGGATTTACCTCACTGATGTCAATGGAGTAGGGTTGGATTCTGTTCTCAGTTGAAGAAGTTTATACCTACAGTAAATCTGCTGCCTTCACTGGAGTCACTCTGCATGTATTCTGGTTTGAGATCATAATCAGGTCCTTTGAATTACTGTGTTTATATGTGAGAAACACAATCGAGACTAACTCAGCAGCAGCCTGGATTAAGCATATAGTTTACAACTGTTACCTGGCTCTATGTTGTAAAGGAACAAACACAGACTAGAACAATTAAACCTGTTTGCTAATAAGAACAATCAGAATCTGGCCATGGACACTGCGGGGGTCGCTCTAGATTTACACTGGAGTTAGGCAGAACAGCATCTGCCCCTAATGTTGATGCAATCAGAGATTATAGAAACTGAGCTACATTTAGACTCCCCACCATTTTCTTTGTTTCCCATTAATCTTTTCCAAGAACCAGAGACCCACCACACACAAAGACTGAGGATACTGAATGCTCCACCGTAAACCCATTTTACCATGAAGCAGCCTAGGCACTGGGATTCAAACCCTTCATACAGGCCTGTGAACTCCTACTCTCCCCTTCCAAGGACCTCATTTCACCCACAGAATCCCTCCCTCTGCAGACCTCTCAATTCCCCACAGCTGTGATTTTTCTGGACTTCGCAGACCACCAAACAAACAAAAATAAAAAACAAACCAACCAACCACACACCATCTTTTAGCTCCAAATATTTATTGTGACCTCTTAGACCTAACTACAGGAAGCTCCCGGCACAGATAGAAAAATAGCATTACTAAAAAGGAAAAAAAGATACAGTAGTAAAAAAAAAATCACCCCTACACCAAATGTTAGATTAATTCAAACATCCCTCCCATAAAAGCTACATAGGGAGAAGGCCCCGATCTATCCATAAGTAGATTTCCTGCAGTAAGTCTCTCTCCACATCTTGTAACCTTGACTGAAATGGCTGGAGAGACAGCTCTGCATTATGACACCTCAAAAGCTGCAGGAGAGAAATCTTTGGGTTCTGACACCTCAGGAAGCCACGGCAGAAAGATCTCTGGGTTGTGAGTTGTGGGGGAAAGGTCCCCCTTTTCCCTGTGACAATGAAACCATGCCAATCCCTCTACTTCCCCTCTCTGTGATGAGAAAGGTCCTCAAATTGAAATACACCCACCCTCCCAACAACAAAAAAACTTTAAAAATTACCTAAAATGGGCATTTGAACAGCAGTCACTTCTCTAAAGCAAGATGGGTTTCCTTTGGTTTTAGAAAAGCTTTCCCCATGTGAGTCAAAGGAGCAAATAACTGACTTAAGGAGAGGGTGGGTGGAGGACTTGGCTAAGGTAACAGAAAGGACTCTGGCTAGTTGCTCTGCAGATTCAGTGGCCAACATTGTCAAAAGCAACAAGTGATTTAGTGTCTCAGTTTTTAGGGGAGTCAAATTGGGGGAACCCCCCCTTGAAAGGAAAGTGACTCCCTAGAAAGCACTGAGTGCTCAACCTCTGAAAATCAGGCTCAGATCAAGCTTTCCAAAAAATAACTAGCTATTTTAGAAAAAAATCGTAGCCGTTTTCTCTCTCTCCAATTCCCCCACTCTGTCAGCCATCACTGCCTCTCCCTGCCCCATCCTGATGCTGGCTTATTATTCTAAAGAGCCTTGGCAGTTAGTCTATTTGCTCCCAAAAGTCTAGAGTTTCATTCTGTCCTCTGGTCCACCCTCTTGACCAATGTTCTAATTTTTCCATCCATGTGCAAACTGAAATTTGTTATGTGCACCAAAGCATGTGTGACAGTGGCACAGCCAGAAGGGCCCACTTGGGTGTGCCCCAACTTCAGGTGGGTGGGCAATGGGAGGGGTGGTAAGACCCCACAACACAGGCCATCTTAAGATATCTTGCACAATGGACATCCTCTGAGATTGCATAGCCCAGCCATGGCCAACCCGAGGCTCGCAAGCCGCATGTGGCTCTCTCCTCCCCCCAGGGTGCAGCTTCCGAAGCCTCCCCGCATGGCTCGTAAGCTGCCCCCGCGCTCCCAAAAATGGCCCTCTCCTCCCAGCTCCCTGTGCTGACCTGGGCAGGGGAGCCATCTGATGTGGCCATGAAAGGGTTGGGCCCAGAATAGGTTGGGCCACACCTGTCCTAGTCCTACATTTGAAATCCACTCTCAGGTTTCACTGCTCAGACCAGTTCTCCAGTCTTTCAGAGACTTCCAAATTATATAACTGAATTTCTTCCGTACAAATCCCAAACAGACTTATTCTACCCCCCGTCCCCGGCTTTCTTTTGTGCATCATAAAGTAGCAAAATGTAAAAGGTACAATTCCCAGGTTTATTTCTCTTTCCAGGATGCCTTTAATGTCTTCTCCTGGTTGGCTGAGAGAAACAAGAGATCAACTGTGGCTCTTAATTCTTGCAAACCAGGTGAAGAAAAGACCTAGAGATCTGTGCTCTACAGCTAACACCGAGCAGGAACAAAACAGAGTCATTTCTAGCTTAGACAATTACTCATCAAATACAGCATAATAAGCACTTTTAATCTATGACTCTGAAAGCACTTCAGAAAAATGCTGGGTACCGTTATTCTCATTTCAGGGATGAAGAAACTGAGGCACAGAACTATAATGTGCCAGAGCAAGGCATAGAACCCTGATGGCCAGGCCTCTGCTCTAAACTACACACCTATGCACAACTGCAAACAAACCGATTTCACCTTCTATAACCCCACAAAGCTAGGAAACTAATCCATGGGTCCTGGCTCCTAGCCCCCTGCTCTCAGACCCTACTCCCCTCCCTGAGGACAGAATGCATGAGTCCCAGCTCACAGGCCCTTGCTCTATTTCTATCCCTCGATGTTCCCGAAGTCAGGAGACTCTGTTCCCAATCCCGCTACTCAGAGTGCACAAAGAAGACAAGAGTCCTGATTCCCAGCCCATACCTCTCTATCTTTTGCTTATTTCCTCTCTACGCATCCCCATGGCCCACGTCACAGCTAGGCAATTTGCCTTAGCACTTCCTGCCTTTTTGGAATCCATCCGCACTTTTATCCACTGGAGAAAGGAGAGAGGGCTGCAGATCAGGGCACATTGGCTTCCGAGATGGATTGGTGTCTTGCTGAGCAGTGAGGACGGGGAGCGAGGACACCAATTTACCCTCCATAAAGGTGCCCTTGTTCTCCGGGAAGGCACGTCAATGTCTCTTTTTATAGATGCTCCAGTTCCCCAGGGCATGTCAACGTCACCCTCTAGAGAGCCACACCAGTGCTGTCCCCAGCTGGGCGCCTACTTGGAGTGCGTTCTCTGGTGCTTCATGAGAGCGGAGCTGTCTCCAAAGCCCTTCCCGCAGTCCGTGCACTTGTAGGGCCGCTCCCCGGAGTGGGTGCGCCGGTGGTTGTTCAGCTTGGAGCTGTCGATGAAGCACTTCCCGCACTCGGTGCACTTGTAGGGCCGCTCCCCAGTGTGGATGCGCTGGTGCTTCATCAGGGAGGAGTTGCAGCCAAAGCTCTTCCCGCAGTCGACGCACTTGTAAGGCTTTTCACCGCGGTGGATCCGCCGGTGCTCCACAAGGTGGGAGCTGACGCTGAAGCGCTTCCCGCACTCGGTGCACTGGTAGGGCCGCTCACCGCGGTGGATGCGCCTGTGCTGCATGAGCGAGGAGCTCTGGTTGAAGGTCTTGCCGCACTCGGGGCAGCTGTAGGGCCTCTCCCCGGTGTGAATGCGCCGGTGCTTGATGAGGTTGGAGCTCTGGCTGAAGCTTTTCCCACAGTGGTTGCAGCTGTAGGGCTTCTCCCCGGTGTGGATGCGCCGGTGCTGGCTCAGGTTGGAGCTGCTGCTGAAGCTTTTGCCGCACTCAGCGCAGCTGTAGGGCTTCTCGCCCGTGTGGGTGCGGACGTGCTGGGCGAAGGAGCCCAGGCTGAAACTCCTCCCGCACTCACTGCAGATAAAGGGCTGCTCCCCGATGTGGGTGCGGAAATGCTTCACCAGGGTGTAATTGCGGTTGAAGCTCTTCCCGCACTCGGTGCACTGGTAGGGCCGCTCACCGCGGTGGATGCGCCTGTGCTGCATGAGCGAGGAGCTCTGGTTGAAGGTCTTGCCGCACTCGGGGCAGCTGTAGGGCCTCTCCCCGGTGTGAATGCGCCGGTGCTTGATGAGGTTGGAGCTCTGGCTGAAGCTTTTCCCACAGTGGTTGCAGCTGTAGGGCTTCTCCCCGGTGTGGATGCGCCGGTGCTGGCTCAGGTTGGAGCTGCTGCTGAAGCTTTTGCCGCACTCAGCGCAGCTGTAGGGCTTCTCGCCCGTGTGGGTGCGGACGTGCTGGGCGAAGGAGCCCAGGCTGAAACTCCTCCCGCACTCACTGCAGATAAAGGGCTGCTCCCCGATGTGGGTGCGGAAATGCTTCACCAGGGTGTAATTGCGGTTGAAGCTCTTCCCGCACTCGGTGCACTGGTAGGGCCGCTCGCCCGTGTGGATGCGCTGGTGCTGGAAGAGGTGGGAGCTCCGGATGAAGCTCTTCCCACACTGACCACACTGGTAGGGCCACTCACCAGTGTGGATGCGCTGGTGATCGATCAGGTTGTAGCTGAGAACAAAGCTCTTCCCACACTCGCTGCACTTGTAGGGCTTCTGGCCCGTGTGGATGCGCTGGTGCTGGACCAGGTGGGAGCTTTGTCGGAAGCTCTTCTCGCAGTCTGAGCAGCTGTAGGGGCGCAACTTGCACTGGGCTTGGCTGGGCTCTGTCGCCACCCTGACGTGCATCTCCTTCGGTGACATCGCCTCTGTCCCCAGCTGCTGTCCAGCCCTGCTGGCCTCTCCCCACTCGGTGCTCCGGGACATCCCATGCAGCTCTGCTCCTTCAGGCTCTTCCTGTGCAGGATTCTCCTTCTCCATCCTGGCACCTTTTGCGAGAGAGAGACACACTGCAGACAGGGCCTGTTCCGTGTGCCAGAGAGACGGGACAGCAAAGGGAGTTTGTCACTGACAGGCAGGAAGCAAATCCCCACGGGCTGATTCTGCCCCCAGCAGCCCCGCTGAGCCTTGAGAGAGCTTGGGGGAGGAGAAGGCTCCTCCCAAGGGCCAGGGTGGGTGGGCTCCAGGTGGTTTTGCTGGGATCCCCTCATTGCCCTATAACCTAAATCCTTTGATGCCAGTTGTGGCACGTCAGGGCCCCCCAGCTTTGTGGCTGGCTGATGCTCAGGGCAGGGCTCCCTGGCCAGGGTCTGGAACTCTGGCTGAAGCTCTTGTCGCACTGGCCACACTTGTAGGGCCGCTCCCCGGTGTGGATGCGCAGGTGCTCCGTGAGGTTGGAGCTGAGAACGAAGCTCTTCCCACACTCGGTACACTTGTAGGGCTTCTGGCCCGTGTGGATGCGCTGGTGCTGAACCAGGTGGGAGCTCTGCCGGAAGGTCTTCCCACAGTCTGAGCAGCTGTAGGCACTCTCCCCCGGCTGGGCTTGGCTGGGCTCCATCATCATCCTGAAGTCAATCTCATCTTGATAGATTGTGTCTATTTCCTCTTGCCAGCCAGCTCCGCTGTCCTCTTCTTTCTTAACCCTCCAGGACAACTCTTGTGGCTCCACTTCTGTGAGACCTTCCGGCTCTAGATTCTCCTCCTTTATCTTTGGCCCTTTCTGCTTTAGATTCTCCTCCTCTATCTTGGCACCTGCTGGGAGAAAGGGAGAATCCAAGGAGGGCTCATTCACTGTGCTGGAGAGAGGGAGCAGCAAATCTGATGTGTAGGAAATGAATTTTCCCAAACAAATACAGTGTAAATGTTTTACCTTGAGGGAAATTAACCATCAAAATAACTTACCAAGAGTCAAGAGGGATTCTCCATCTTTGGCAACTTTTAAATCAAGATAGGATTTGTTTGGTAAGGATTTGCTTTAGTTCTAAAGCACTTATTTTGGGGGATTTTAACAGCATGACAGTCGGGACTAGATAAATCACATGCTTCTGGCCTTCCGGTGAGCATCAGACACTGAGTGAGACAGGGCAGAACAAATCAGGCAGCCCACTAAAAGATCTCTCACCATGAGAGTGGTGAGGACAAATCGGAGTGCCCATGTCACGTAGGAGAGTGGGACTCATTTCTAGTTTGTCTTATGCTCCTAAAGGCTCAGACTTCAGTCGTCCACTGATAGGAGGATCTGGGAGGTTGTGGGTTTTGTTTGTTTTTTGGAGGAGGGAGGGGGTGAAGCACTGGTGATGGCCATGGCTGGAGATAGAAACCTGCTCTTCTGTTCATGTGCTGAGGTGCCACCTAACTCTCTCTCTGATGCTTGCCTGGCTGTATGATGCTCCCATGCTCAGTGTCTAGACCAGTGCATGTCTATGCTAGGAAATTATTTTGACCTCTTAGTCCATGAAGAGTCCCCAAGCCCACTCCTATGTCACCGGTGCCAGGTCACCTCTGCCAGTAAGGACCAGGCTGTTCCTGACCTAGGTGCCCTGAGGATGCAGCCCCTGTTCCCCTAGTGCCAGGCACAGACAAGAAATGCTGCCTGCAGAGGGCAGGGGGGGGGGG